TCTTTCACCTTGTACTCAAAGCCGAGAGGGGGGGGGGGGGGGGGGGGGGGGCTTTTTTCTCTCATGTTCACTGTGGAGAGGGGGAAAACCTCGTCTTGGATTCTAGTAAATATGGTACTGTAGAGAATAAAAATACACAGGTTGTTATAAAGACAGTGGTGATCAATTGTTCTCTGTGCTCACAGAGGATACGACAAAAAGTACTTTATCTGGTGTAGTTTCGACTACATTGATCCCATCCTGATTGGCTAGCTCCCCACCTGAAATTCCTTTTAGCCTTATTTATGTGATTCCTCATCCCACTATTCCACGGAGCTGAGGATGGCATCCCAAGTTAAGGATAACAAAAAATTGTTTTTCAGATATATAGGAAGTAAAAGAAAGGCCCAGGGCGGAATAGGGATGCTACTGAATGGGCAAAAGTAATTGGTGACAGACAGGGGGGATAAGGCTGAACTCCTCAATGAGTTCTTTGCCTCAGTGTTCCTAAACGAGGGGCAAGACAAGTCTCTCACTGGGATTGTAGAGAGGCAGCAGCAGGGCGCCAGACTACCATGCGTTGACCCTGAGATACTGCAGAGTCACTTGGAAGAACTGGACGCATTTAAGTCGGCAGGCCCGGATGAGCTTCATTCGAGGGTACTGAAGGCTGATGTCATTGCACACCCACTGGCAAGAATATTTGAAAACTCGTGGTGCACAGGCCAGGTCCTGGAGGACTGGCAAAGGGCCAACGTGGTCCCTATTTTCAAGAAGGGGAGGAAGGAGTATCCAGGCAACTATAGGCCAGTCAGTCTCACATCCATCCTTGGCAAAGTCTTTGAAAAGATTATTAAGGCTCATATATGTGACAGCCCAGCAGGAAAAATTATGAGGGAAAACCAGCACGGGTTCGTAGCAGGTAGATCATGCCTGACTAATCTAGTCTCTTTTTATGACCAGGTCACAAAACACCTGGACGCAGGAGTAGGGGTTGACATTGTCTACTTAGACTTCAGGAAGGCCTTC